TCCTAACTTTGAAAGCAAAGGCATGAAGATGACCTCATCATCTTGCTACAGTTTTGGAATTGTCATCTTATTTCTTTTATTCACCGAGTGATCTCCAAAAACACAACTTTTCTGTTTTGCAGTCATAACTTTTTTTCCTCGTTAACCGATTTTCCGAATCTCAGGCTCATTTCGAACCTGAAACTCATGATGAAGAGGTATGTACAGGGTGGCCCATTATTGTGAGGAAGTGAGATAACGGCTTCGCTGTTTGAGACAAATAAACAAAAATTTCTGAGATGGTTCAAGCTCATGAGCAGCACATTCCTCATTGACTCAAAAATACGTGAAGTATCAAAGCTACCTATACTTCTTCTTATAGAACACCATGTATTGTATTGTATTTTCAGATTCTCCATGAGCTGATTCCATCGATCTATCACACTTTAGGTTTGGGGATGTTATGACAGATTTTGGGGGTGTGAAAAATCTAGATTTTTCAACATTCGGATTTTTTTTTGTCAAAAGTACCCATCATTGGTCAAAACGGCATCAATTTCCCCATTTCAACTTTCGATTTACTATCTACTGTCATTTAATTTTGATGGATACAGAGTGATTCATGATTATACTGAATTATTAACCACCCTGTATTCGTTCAAGCCGTTCCGATCAATAATGAGTACTTTTGACACAAGGAATCTCGAAAGATGAAAAATCTCGATTTTCTACACTCCTTATCTCTGTCATCACTTCTTAGAACCAAAAGTATCGAAAATTGAAAAATCTGAATTTTTCACACCCTATATCTCTGTCATAACTTTCCTTCAACCTAAAGTGTGATAGATCGATGACATCAGCTCATAAGGAAGAATCTGAAAATCAGTGACGGCTCGTCAGGGACGGCAGGGTCGGCCGGGCCGTACCAAATAATTTGGGGAAAATTACTGAACTATTTGATGAATGAAATTATTTTCCGAAACTGTTTTCATAATTCATCGCGCATTATCCTACTGTTATGTCACTATTATTTGAATTTCATTCATGGAACCTTTGAGTATGCCTCCGCATATACACCGAAAATCACGAACTAATTCAGGACCTACGACATCTGGTAATCCCATCGTCAAAACGCCGCTTTCAGTTGAAACGCTCGCGTAGCTCATTACACTGATGCAGACGGCCGGCCGATCGGTGATTTCTTGTCTCGACGCATCGCCACAGGCATCGCCTACAGATTCCCCGCTTCAAGATTAAATTTTCGCTTATACGCGTCATACCTTGGGTGCGGCCAAGCTCTGCTGGCCGTCCAACGTATCGATCGTACTTATCAGTATCAGTTGTTTGCAGTGCGCTCGCTGTGCACCGTGTCGAACCATTCCGACCTAATTTTTAATATACGGATTGGCATGATTGACATTCTATCTTCATTTTACATTGTAGGTATTTATAATTTTAATTCCTATACTTATTTGTGAGTTGATGTTGGAATTTGAAATGTACAAACTGAAAAGAAAAATAATTTCCATGTTTGTGTTTACGCTTGCAGTAGTTGCAGTAAAAATGACTGGTGATTTTTGAATTTGCAATTTTTCAGTAATTCATAATTCAACATATCCATCTAATATTGGTATCAGAATTTTCCTTCAGTGCTTCTGAGCGTCAATAAATTATAATTCAATTTGAATATTGCTGTAATGTAACCTACTGTGCCTCTGCCTATGTAGGTAATATGGCAAGAAAAATGTCAGCAGTCCAAGAGCTGAGTAGGTATTGAAACATCGTAAAAAAGCTCTGGTGACGAAAATGTAATAAATGTATAACTTCCAGAATATCATTTATTTTCAAAGACGCATGTAGCGGTTATAAACTTCCTAAATAATATTTATGCATCCATCGCATCGCGGGAAACATTATACCTACGGCTGCACCCTGCACGCGGGCTCGGCCAGCCGACTACGAAGAAGTGGGGTCACGGTCAGTGGGGTGGCTTGTTACAGGAACGGCGTAGACCGATTAGATTAGTCATTGTTGTGCTTCTCGCGTTAGGTGAGTGGTTGTCGGTTATGTTGATTTTTTTGAGTTTACATTACGTTTTCAACAGAATATACATATTTTTTGTTCACGAGTTATTTTATTTTTATTTTCTTTCATTTTATTTTTTCGACTTTCTTGTTATTATTTTTTTATACCAACTAACCCTTATCCACCTCCTTTTTCTTTCCCCATTTCCCCTGGCGAGAATGCTCTAACCTCGTGGTTCTTGCTGGACAATTTAATTTTTTGGTTATGTGTACAGGGTGATTCACCATAAATGTCCCCCCTCTAGCTCAATTATTTTTAAACCGATTTCAAAATTTGAAATATCATCTTGAATGATTTTTGATTGAGTTTTTTTCCGCTACATCAGAAAATACAGGGTGCTCAGAACAAACGATCTACAGGGTACCTACTATTTGATTTTTTTATATGGAACACCCTATTTTTCATTGTATTTTTAGATTCTCCCTGAAAAGCTGATTTGCTCAATGTATCACACTTGGGGTCTATCGGGAATGATTACAGAGATATAGGGTGTTCAAAATCGAGAAACGGCTTTCATGTCCATATCTCAACTTTTGATTTACTATCTACTGACATTTAATAATTGGAACAGATACAGGGTGATCAGAATTCTGAATCTTGAACCACCCTGTAAATGTTCCAATAAAATCTCAATAGACAGTTAATCAAAAATTAAGATGGAAACATAGGAGCCGTTTCGACCAATAATGAATAATTTCGAGACAAAAAAATCCTAAACTTGAAAAATCTCGATTTTGAACACCCTATATCTCTGTTATCATTCCCGCTAGACCCCAAGTGTGATGCATTGATGAAATCAGCTCTTCAGGAAGAATCTAAAAATACAATGAAATACAGGGTGTTCCATTTGGAAAAATCGAGTAGTACCCTGTAGATCATTTGTTCCGAGCACCCTGTATTTCCTGATGCAACGGGAAAAAAAATTCTGAGAAATCATTTTAGATCATCCTTCAAATTTTTAAATCGGGTCAAAAATAAGTGAGCTAGAGGGAGAAAGGACAATTATGGTGAATCACCCTGTACATGCTTATTTGCCATCGAACTTCACTCAAGCCGCTGACCCACTTACGTTCGCATTTTAGAGCAATATCTATACCCTGGCCGACCCAGGTTCTGAGGGCACGAGCCGTCACTGCTGAAAATACAATACAATACAGGATATTCCATAAGAAGAAATATAGGTAACTTTGATACGTCACGCATTTTTGAGCCACCCTGTATAACGCAAAATATTTTAGAAATGTGCTGCTCATGTGCTTAGACCATATCTCAGAAAACTTTGTTCATCTGTCTTAAACAGCGGAGTCATTATCTCACTTCCTCGCACTAATCGGCCACCGAGTGGGTCACCCTGTACATATCTCTTCTTCTGAAGTTTCAGATCCAAAATGAGCCTGAGATTTGGAAAATCGGTCGACGAGGAAAAAAGTTATGACTGCAAAACCGAAAAGTTATTTTTTTGAAATCACTCTGTAAATAAATTAAATAAGAAGACGATTCAAGAACTGTCCCAAGATAATGAGGTCATCTTCATGATTCTGCTGTCAGAGTTGTAGAAAAGAAATTTTCCTTCATTTGGGACCATTTTGAAAATTCCGAAATTTTGCACAGAATCAGGTAACACCCTGTAGCGATTTTATGTGAAGAACCTTATGTTCTGAAGAAGTACGAGATTATAGCTGAAGGACTGAGCTATAGCGAAAAGTGTGATCCGAATTCGAACGCAGAAAAAAGTTATTGATATTTCAATATGAGCAACATGGGGTGCGACGAAATTAGTGTTGCGTAGTTTATTTTAGAAGTGCAAATCATGTCAATTTATACGTACCATCAAATATTCAAAAAATAATTATTTTTCTTCAGTTCGGGCCCAGCGATGAAACGAAACGAATAATTACGAGAGATCGCCTGTACAATAATTTCAGAACAGAAATTCTATGAAGTTATATTCACAATACGAATAATGTCAATAGATTTCCATATTACTTCCATCGAAATTCATCCACAAAAAAGAGTTGAAATTTTCCGAATGAAGAATGCAGATACTATTCGAGATATAATAAGAATAAAATACTATACACTGTCCTCATAACTTTACTGTGTCCTCTCAACCTCACACAAAAACTATTGAAAATAGCGGGAAATAGCGTCCTCGTAAAGAGAGTCCTCGCAATACATTGTAAGTATGGAGTCCTCGCAACAGGCAAAACTGCAGAGTGTGAAGTGAAAATAAGGGAATTCATCGAGTGTATTATCAAATTTAGATACCATATACACAATAATCGTCCACCACGCATATTTCATGTGCTTAAAATGATTCCTTCACAGGGTCCTCGCTACAGGGCATTTGGTTCAAAGTCCTCATAAACCCCCCCTTCTACGTATAGGTGTGTGTGTGTGTGTGTGTGTGTGTGTGTGTGTGTGTGTGTGTGTGTGTTTGTAAGACGGGGTTTACGAGGACAATAGTCCGCGAGTAACTTATGAAGAACTGATGACACTTACTTGCGACTGTGAAGCTATAATCAACTCACGTCCACTCACTTATGTTTATGATAATCCTGATGAGCTAAGTCCCATAACTCCTGCTGTTTTTATACAAGGAATCAAATTTAATGAAACTCCGGACTTAGACATAATAAACCGAACCTGTATGACAAAGAGATATAGAAGTCTTCAAAATTTGAGAGACTCACTTAGACATCGATTTCGAACTGAATACCTAGCGAATCTAGTCCATGTAGGACAAAGAAGACAAGACAAATTGAAGGTTGGTGATATTATTCTAGTTGGCTCGGATAACTCGAAGAGGATAAGCTGGCCAATGGGAAGAATAATAGAAATATATCCAGGGAGAGACGGAATAGCCAGAGTTGCCAAAATCCAATTAGCATCTGGTGGAGAAATAGTCAGGCCATTTCAAAGGATTTATCCTTTAGAGATACCTGATCATTCTGATGAATTCATCATACCAAGAAACATAGATGAATCGAAAGATAATCCGGTAGGAGAAGATGAAGAAGAAGAAGTCCATGAAGTTGATGAAGAAAAAGAAGTCCATGAAGAAGCAAGAGATCGAGAAGAGATCGAGGAACAGATTGAATCAACTGAAGAAACAAAGACGCCAGGTGATCATGTACGAGATGAACAGGTCTCCACAAGATATGGTCGGCTGGTGAAGGTTCCCAAACGCTTGGGATATTGATTTTGCTATTTATCGCAAAATGGTGGGAGGATGTTACGGATCAATGTTTTTATCAATGTGTGCATGATGATTGTTTTAGATCCGTACTTTTTTTTCACACCGTATTTTGTCGATAACGATTGATTTTTCACTTTTTGATGTAACTGTCAATGAATTAAATAATTTAAAAAAGCAAATACTGTTTTCGCATATAAAGGCAGATAACATTTATTTCTGATCCTTTCTTTTCGAATCCTCCATAACATACTGCAGAGTGACAGTGTGAACATAATTGAAGTCGGAGTTTCTTGTTCTGCAAGCTGTGTGAGTTATTCGCTTGGAAGTCGTCTTATATGGTCAATGCAAACTTGTCTACTTGATAGTGTCAAGGTTAGATGTTAGGATAGAGAGATATAGTGTGCACAACGATGAAGTCGATGTATCTTCATTTGCCTATTGTACTCGTAATATACCCTTCACTGTCATTCCATACGTTCACTGCAATCGTATTTGCTTCAACTGTATGCATGCCAGATGTTATACTGCAGAGTTACAGTGTAAACATAGTCGAAGTTGAGGTTTCTTGTTCTGCAAGCTGTGTGCATGATACCTGCTTGGGAGTCGTCTCATATGGTCATTGCGAACTTGTCTACTCCAATAGTATCCATGTTAGATGATAGGATGGAGAGATAAAGTGTGCACAACGATGAAGTCGATGTATCTCCTTTCGCCTATCGTACCTGTTATAATCCCTTCAAAGTCGTCTCATACGGTCACTGCAATCGTTCCTGCATCAACTGTAGGCATGTCAGATGATAGACTGCAGAGTGACAGTGTGAACATAGTCGAAGTCAAAGTTAATTGTTCTGCAAGTTGTGTGCGTTATTCCCGCTTGGAAGTTGATTCATATGGGCATTGCGCACTAGTCCGCACCAATAGTCTCCATGTGAGATGATGGGATAGAGAAATAGAGTGTGCACTTCGATGAAGTCGATGTACCTTCATTTGCCTATTGAACTCGTCATATACCTTTCGGAGTCGTCTCATACGGTCACTGTCATCGTATCTGCTCCAACTGTATGCATGCCGGTCGCTGGACTGCAGAGTTACGGTTTAAACATAGTCAAAGTCGAAGTTTCCTGTTCTGCAGGCTGTGTGAGTTATACCCTCTTGGCAGTCGTCTTATATGGTCAATGCAAACCTCTCTACTTGATAGTGTTAAGCTGAGATGTTAGGATAGAGAGATATTGTGTTCACAACGATGAAGTCGATGTATCTTCATTTGCCTATTGTACTAGTTATTTGCCCTTCAATGTCAACTTATACGTTCACTACAATCGTATATGCTTCAACTGTATGCATACCAGATCAGATGTTATACTGCAGAGTTACAGTGTAAACATAGTCGACGAGGTTTCTTGTTCGGCAAGCTGTGTGCGAATTACCTGCTTGGGAGTCGTCTCATATGGTCATTGCGAACTTGTCTGCTTCAATAGTGTCTATGTAAGATGATAGAATGAAGAGATATAGTGTGCACAACGATGAAGTCGATGTCTCTTCTTTCTCCTTTTGTACCTGGTATAATCCCTTCAAAGTCGTCTCATACGGTCACTGCAATCGTTTCTGCATCAACTGTATGCATGTCAGACTGCAGAGTGACAGTGTGAACATAGTCGAAGACGAAGTTACTTGTTCTGCAAGTTTTGTGCATTATTCCCGCTCAGAAGTTGATTCATATGGGCATTGCCCACTAGTCCGCTCCAATAGTATCCATGTGAGATGATGGTATAGAGAGATAGAGTCTGCACTTCGATGAAGTCGATGTATCTTCATTTGCCTATTGAACTCGTCATATCCCTTTGGAGTCGTCTCATATCGTCACATTGTCGCAGTCGGAGTTTCTTGTTCTGCAAGCTGTGTAAGTTATACCTGCTTGGAAGTCGTCTTATATGGTCAATGCAAACCTCTCTACTTGTTAGTGTCAAGGTAAGATGTTAGGATAGAGAGATATAGTGTGCACAACGATTAAGTCGATGTTTCTTCTTTCGCCTATTGTTCCCGTGATAATCCCTTCAAAGTCATCTCATACGGTCACTGCAATCGTTCCTGCATCAACTGAATGCATGTCAGATGACAGACTGCAGAGTGACAGTGTGAACATAGTCGAAGTCTAAGTTACTTGTTCTGCAAGTCGTGTGCGTTATTCCCTATAAGAAGTTGTCTCATATGGGCATTGCGCACTCGTCTGCTTTAATAGTATCCATGTGTGATGATGGGATAGAGAGATAGAGTGTGCACTTCGATGAAGTCGATCTATCTCCATTTGCCGATTGAACTCGTCATATACCCTTCGGAGTCATCTCATACGGTCACTGTCATCGTATCTGCTTCAACTGTATGCAGGCCAGTTGCTGGACTGCAGAGTTACAGTGTAAACATAGTCAAAGTCGGAGTTTCTTGTTCTGCAAGCTGTGTGGGTTATACCTGCTTGGGAGTCGTCTTATACGTTCACTGCAATCGTATATGCTTCAACTGTATGCATGCTAGATGTTATACTACAGAGTTACAGTGTAAACATAGTCAAAGTCGGAGTTTCTCGTTCTGCAAGCTGTGTGAGTTATACCCACTTGGGAGTCGTCTTTCATGGTCAATGCAAATTTGTCTGAGATATAGTGCGCACAACGATGAAGTCGATATATCCCCTTTTGCCTGCTGTACTCGCTATATACCTTCCAAAGTCGTCTTATATGGTCACTGCAGTCGTATCTGCTTCAACTGTATGCATGCCAGATGTTATACTGCAGAGTAACAGTGTAAACATGGTCGAAGTCGAGGTTCATTGTTCTGAAAGCTGTGTGCGTTATACCTGCTTGGGAGTCGTCTCATATGGTCATTGCGAACTTGTCTGCTTCAATAGAGTCTATGTAAGATGATCGGAAAAAGAAATATAGTGTGCACAACGATGAAGTCGATGTATCTTCATTCGCCTATTGTACGCGTTATAATCCCTTCAGAGTCGTCTTATACGGTCACTGCAATCGTTCCTGCATCAACTGTATGCATGTCATATGCTAGACTGCAGAGTTACAGTGTGAACATAGTCGAAGTCGAAGTTTCTTGTTCTGCAAATTGAGTGCGTTATACCCGCTTAGATGTCGTCTCATATGGGCATCGCGAACTCGTTCGCTCCAATCATATCCATGTGAGTTGATAGGATAGAGATATGAAGTGTGCACAACGATGCAGTCGATGTATCTTCATCTGCCTATTGTACTTGCTATATACCCTCCAAAGTCGTCTTATATGGTCACTACCATCATATCTGCTTCAACTGTATGCATGTCAGGATCAAGACTGCAGAGTTACAGTGTAAACAAAGTCGAAGTCGGAGTTTTTTGTTCTGCGAGCTGTGTGCGTTATAACCGCTTGGAAGTCGTTTTATATGGTCAATGCTAACTTGTCTTCTTCAATAGTGTCAATGTAGAATGATAAGATAGAGAGATATATTGTGCACAGTGTGCCTATTGTACGCGTTATAATCCCTTCGAAGTCGTCTCATATGGTCACTGCAAACGCTCCTGCTTCAACTGTATGCATGTCATATGCAAGACTGCAGAGAAACAGTGTGAACATAGTTTTAGATGTATGACAAACTGACATTTATCATACAGGGCGTGGAAAGAAATTCTGAATTGAGAAAAACCCAATCACGAATCTGCGATTGAAGGTCTATAAAAATAACAAGTTTCCATCGTTCAAGTTTGAACCCCTTGATTGGGTATGAAAGTATTGAAAAGGAATATTCTCAGATATATTATAAACATGAAAAAATGGATACATTTGAATAAATACAACAAGAACAGAGTATGTATACTAGTATATTTCTCCCATACATTACAATTTTCATACCAATTTGGTAAGTAATATATTTTTTATATCGTTATATTCATCATAGTATTCATCCGATTCTGGAAGAGAATGTCAATTCTCAATTTCAGACGATATTCATTTTATGCTCAAATTCCTATCGTGTATGTTCAATTGATATAATTCAATGTTCGTCGTGGCATATAGCCAGGAAAGTAGTTGTTTTCTGTTGAATATGCCGAGAAAGAATTAATAATTTCATCACATAGAGAATGCGAATTCTCAATGTATTTATTCAAATGTATCCATTTTTTCATGTTTATAATATATCTGAGAATATTCCTTTTCAATAGTGTGAACATAGTCGAAGACGAAGTTTCTTGTTCTGCAAGTTGTGTGCGTTATATTTGCTTAGAATTTGTCTCATATGGGCATTGCGAACTCGTTTGCTCCGATAGTATCCATGTGAGATGATAGGATAGAGAGATAGAGTGTGCACACCGATGAAGTTGATGTAACTTCATTTGCCTATTGAACTCGTTATATTTCCTTCAGAGTCGTCTTGTACAGTCACTGCTATTGTATCTGCTTCAACTGTATGCATGATGGATGCTTGACGGCAGAGTTACAGTGTAAACATAGTCGAAGTCGGAGTTTCTTGTTGTGCAAGTTGTGTGCCTCATACCCGCTCGAGAGTCGTCTTATATGCACTCGCTCCTGCATCAACTGAATGCATGTCATATGCAAGACTGCAGAGAAACAGTGTGAACATAGTCGAAGACGAAGTTTCTTGTTCTGCAAGTTGTGTGCGTTATATTCGCTTAGAATTTGTCTCATATGAGCATCGGAAACTCGTTTGCTTCAATAGTATCTAAGTGAGATGATAGGATAGGGAGATGGAGTGTGCACTCTGATGAAGTCGATGTATCTTCATTTGCCCATTGTACTTGCTAAATGACCTCCGAAGTAGTCTTATACGGTCACTGCTATCGTATCTGCTACAACTGTATGCATGTCAGATGTTGGACTGCAGAGTAACAACGTAAACATAGTCGAAGTCGTAGTTTCTTGTTCTGC